TGTTCAGCAGTTCTAGCCAGAGGCCTGCTCCCCAAAATTACAACCACAGATATGCCACGGGGGAAGGAGTACTCTACAGATGAGAACAACTAGTTCTTTTTGTAAGTATTTAAAAGAAGATTTGTACATATATTTTCCTTCACAATCAACTAATTTTAGATACCAGGAAATCAGGAAACCAAGGTAATCCTTCCCTGCTACTTCTGCAGTGTATTTTACTTGTAAAAGAAATAACTTGTATCACCTCCCAGAATTGCCAGAGTGACCTACGCAGACTGTAAGTAGTATTTATCCTCTGAACAGGAGAGTAGAAGATGAAAAAGAAAACCCTTCCCAAAACAAAAAGCACCCTCCCCCCCAACCCAAACAAGCAAAAAATAAATATATTCCAAAATATATCCTCAAATATCAAGTACAAATCTGGGTTCTCAAACCACAGCTGCTCTGACAAAGCTCTGGGTTTACGCTGTCCTACACAGGAAGGGAGGTGAGCAGCTCAGAGCAATGAACACGTCTTTTTAGCATTGGAAAAGAGGCGGTTTATGCACAAACAACTGGCAATCAAGTGAACATAGGGAAGATTCAAACTCATGCTACAAACCCGTGCTGTATTCCTCCAGAAGCATTTCTTCCAAATGCCTCAGTGAACAGTCTCCTTGGAGGGTTTCTGGTGGTTGTGTAACCGCGCTGCTCCACACGGCACACGAGAAAGACAACTCGTCTCTCAACACAGAGCAAAACACTGGCGTGAACAAGTAATTACCATGGCTATTAATTTCTAATTCATTTTTATACCATAGTGAACCTGGCGGACGTTTCTCAGCCAGGTACCATATTTCTAACCTAAAGTATTTCAGCAAAACTAAAGTCCCATAGTTTTGCAAGCAGCAAAATAGAAAGTAACAAAGTTGTGTCTAATTGGAGGAGAAATACACATTCGTGAGAGCACATACAATTAGTGCAACACAGCTACTCTGAAAGTAACGAACCAAACCAGATTAATCAATGCAGCAGACATGCAGGGTCTGCTAAGTTATGTTAAAACCATGTTTGCTGGTGATTAAATATGTCTACAGAAGATATATTACCATTTTGAATATATTTTCAAGCAGACGAAAAATACCTCATCTATTGGTTACTGGTGTGTTATTTTTAACTAATTAAATATTGGGAGGGATTTTACCCCTCTCGCTATAAAAATTGCACTTATTTTCTATTAAACAAAACAAAAAAAAGTTAGATTTCCATTCTATGTTCCAGTATATATTCACATTGAAACTGGATTGTCTTGATCTAAGCTTGCAGGAGTAGGTGTAGCAGTCCTTGCTCTCCAAGATCCCCAGGCACAGAAGGTCCCATCAGTACAAACCCCTCCTTCCTCTGTGCTCTGGTCACTTCTTCATTGTAGTGCATGGGTAATTGATTTTATTTTTTTTGTAAGAAAACCTGAGCTTCAAAAGTCTTTAAAAGGACCTGGAATCAAATCTGGCCCATTCTGACCCAAAACAGCTCAGTTCTGCAAGGAACTCCGTCCTGTCCTCATTTCACACAGCTCCTCCTGAGACACCACGGCTCTGACCCGAGGCGAGTGAGGTGTCAAACCCTTTCCCCTCCAGTCTCTCTTGACCCAGGAGACTTTCCTCTGGACACATTTCTGAGGGCTCCTTCTTCCCTCCCTTTAGCACTGCTGCCTTCTATAGGGCTTTGAAGGGCTCCCTGTGCCAATAAAAAAGTCTCTCTGCAATAAGCATGACTTCTTGGACACCGGTGATCAGCTTCCTCTTGCAAAGTCTTCTCCAGCTCATAAAATGTCATCGTAATCCAATAGTTTAGAGTGCTGGCGGGTCTTCCAGAGGCGGTAAAGGCGAAAGTCAAAGTAAGTCTCAATCATTTGCTTACCTAGGAGAAGTGAAATGAAGCAGAGGGGTTACACCCTGCAGCACAAGGGAGAGACGTGAGAGGCTGCAGCAGGAAACAAACCCCAGCCCACCGATAGGCAGGGGCACGGGAGAACCCGTCCATATGCTTCGTTTGGAAAATACCCACATTCAGCACCTACCCCGGGGCATGTGAAGGTGCTCGTGAGAAGCAAATGTCTTTTTAGATATCCTCAAACCATGAAAGGCTCCTTATAATTCCTTGGCAGGGTTTGTCCATGGGGGAGGGAGCTGAACACAAAGTCTGTCTCCAGACTTTGACCTCTCTGCACTGACCGCAGAAGCGGGGGGCCGGGGGCTGTAGAGTATCAGCCAAGAGCTCCAACAGCCTGCATGAGGTAACCTGGCATAGGGACTTCAGCAAATGACAAATCAAGAGTAAACTCATTGTAAAGATTTGTGGGAAACATTAAAAATAATTAACATTAACAGGCTGTCTCTGTCCTGCAGAGCTGTCTCTTCTCTCAGCCATGAGCTCAACAGGACACACTAATGCAAGTTCTGCACCACCGGCACCTCTGATTGAAGGCGGGGGGGTCTCACAAGGCACTCGCAGGCTGAAAGCCACACGCAGGGCTGGTGCTGGCAGCAGCGACTGCATTTGAAAACACAAGGGCAAACAACCCTGGACTCTGAGACAGGGCTCAAGGAGGGGATTTTCGCTTTTGAGGCCTGATTAAGATTAGTTTCAGATGTCTTTGCGAAGGATTAGAGAGGGTACACTATTAGCGCGTCCCAGATTGATCAAGGGGATAAATTCAGACGTATTCTTCAGCCCAGCCTCTTGAAAGATCAGCTGCTTAAATGCATGCGCACAGAACCCGCTGCCTTGCCTGCCAAGCCGCATATAAACCCAGGAATTTCCCTGCAAGTTGCTTCTCGGCACATATGTATGAACACGTATGCTGTGGGATCTATGCAAGCACTGAATAAAACTGCGTCCAAACCTCGACAGGACATGCACAGAGAACTGCACAGCACGAATGTGCTTGACTCCTGTACATTCCTATGACAGTAAGTGGGAGTTAATAACCCACCAGTGCTGATGCCAGCTGTGAGCAGCAGAGGAAGTATCCACAGTGCTTATAGCCTAATGCTGCATGCTTTCATTTTCCAAGAGAACAAAGTACCAAGGACTACAGCAAAGATAACATAACAAAGGCAAATTTAGAATACATTGCTTATGAACCTGCATCCATAATTACTTGCATTGACTAAAGAACAGGAAAAATTCTGTAGTCCCTTGAAATACCTAGGGCTTTAGGCAGAGAAAAAAAAAAAAGCGAAGCAGACTGAGGTGTAGAATGGCTCTAATGGGCAACATCCCTGATGCTTGTTGATGACACAACTCACTCGGTACTAGTGGTTTGAGTCCTGGAGGAGAGACCTCTGCACGCCTGGTTACAGAAAAGGTGCTGCTCCCACGTGCATTTCTCCCACAGGCTTCACATGCCCTAGCAGTATGACAAATCTCCCAAACTCAGTCTGGAAAGCCACCTACTATTTAGGCTACTTTGCCATTGCCAGTAGCCTGGGAGAGGGCTCTGCAGCTTCAGGCACAACAAACAGGACAGATGAAACGTGAACATGGAGGAACTGCAAGGGGAAAACCAGGTTCAGCAACTGAACTACACAAGGTGGTTACAAGCAAAATGAAGACCATGGCAGGACTTAAGGGAGCTTAAAATTGTTTTTTCAGGAAGATGCCACTGAAGGAGGCAGGCTGAATACGAAGGCGTGCATCTTTCTACAGAAAATAAATTACCTTGAGCTGATAGTTCAAGTGGAGACTCAAAGGCAACCCTATAAGGATTCATTAAGTTTTTCAGATTCTGAAATAGCTGAAAGGAAAACACATTGAGAGTTAGCAGCTGAAAACAAAGATGAACTCCAGGGCACCCAGAATTGCCCATCCTTGGTTCCCTACCTCTAGAAAACCTTCCACTCATGTCCTTTAAAACATGTAGCTCATCAGTGAATACATAAAGTGCTTTGAATGACTGTTCTCCTCAAAGGCTTCAGTATTTGTCCTGCATGTCACCTATCATTCCTCCCCTGCCCTCTGGGGAAGGCACAATCCATAGGGTGGTTTGCCCATTCACAGTCACTCATGGAGAAGATGGCAGCATGTTCCCACATAGCAGAAGAGGAAGGTTTAGACTTCACTGTGTGACTGTTGCCTCCCTGGGCCTGGTGCTACTCAGCAGACATTCCCAGAAAGGTGACCCAGGAAGCTCTTACCTTCTCCCCATTGGGGTTTCCAAGAACATAGCAGCCCATGATGTGAATGATATTTGGTTCAGGATTGACTTTACTCATCAGCCGGCTCAACCTCTTCCAGAAGCTGGAAGAAACAGGAAAAAACATAATATATACTTAAAAAAACCTCAGCCCCCCCTCCCCCGCCCAAAAAACCCTATCTCCTCATATGCATGAATAATCACAAGGATGTGTGCACACACGGCTCAGAAGGAGCCTGAGGCTTGTAGCCTGAGGAGCAAGCTGCTCAAGGAGAGCCATTGGTTCTTGAACAAGAACGGCAGGAGAAGAGCAAGGGTCTGAGGAGCAGGTCCAAGTCATGTGGCAGAGAAGGAGGAGCAGCCCATTGAGCCAAGGAAGCTTCAAGGTGAAGAGAAGGGAGCACAGTCCACCAGGAGGGCTTTTAGAATGACAGTTTTACTAAGCATCCTCTTTTTGTAGCGGTTCCCTCCCAATTTCCTCTCTGCCATTTCTGTCAACAACTGCCCTTTCTAAATATGAGTGTTATCAGTGCTCTGGGTCATTTCCAGGGCATGAAATCAGCAGAGAACAGCTGGAGAGGTTGTTCTACATAGCTAGAGAGACAACACCAAAGCAGGCTGTTCCATGTTAGCCAGTGCTTGGCACTCCTCACCAGTCAGACCCGCTTTCCACTGTGTGACTACTGACCAGACACAGTGTGCCTAAGGGAGAGGAAACACAACCACCTCCGGCCCCTGCAGTGGGTTAGAGCAGACTTCTGGTGGGCTCTAAAGCCCAGCAGTTCCTCTGTGAGGTCTGCGATCAGACTGCAGCCTACGCTTTTCTCAGAACTGCCTCCCAGGGACGTACAGGTTGGATGGAAACATTCACTTCCAAGCATCCAAGTTTTCAGCTGTGTGTACACAGCTTTCTGAAGATCCCTGAACTACTACCTTTGGACCAGCTATGCCTGGAATGTGTTCAGAAGCATGTACACACACACATGCTGAAGAATTTTATTGACAGTGTTTGTGCCAGAGCATGAGAGCGCTGAACAGATGTTGATTTTAACACTCAGTTCTCATGCCAACAGAAAGTTGTGTACGAACAGGTTGGTATACATCTTCTTCCCCACAACGAAGCACTGCTAGCCAAGTAAGTTTGAGCCAGCACAAGCAAGCAGGCAGCAGAACAGGCAAAGCCTAACTCTCTGCAAGGAGAAGCACAATTGCCTCAGCAACCCCAGCTCATAGGCTGGCACGTTAGTGAAAATCCTCCTCAGTAACATGCTGGACTTTGAGCAGGCTTTGCAGAGACAAATTCCATTTCCCCCTGCAACTAGGAGGACAGTTACCGGAGTCAGCTGTGGGGGGAACGGTTTGGATTTCTGCCACTAGTCACCTGCTTAGGAATGCTGTCTCAGCCACTTCTGAGCAAGAGAGGCACGAGGTGCATGTTCCTGTTTCTGGTCAGCAAGCCTTTGTTAGGAAATGAAATATCTTTTTTCCCACTCCCTGACTCTTTAGACAGTGTCTAGTCGAGAGAGACAGATAAAAGCATAAATCTTCTGGTGACCTGTCCTGGGGCTGCACCACCCCAGAGATGACCTCAGCTCCGTCACCTTTGCAACTCCCACTGAAGGAGCTGTAAGTTGCTCTTAGATCCCCCCTCAGCCTCCTCTTCCCCTGACCAAACCACCCCAGCTCCCTTCACCTCTCCTGCTAGGCCATGTGCTACAAATATTGAGCAAACCCAGCAGAAAAATGCTATGCAAATCCAGAACATAACACAGTTACTCACAGGATCATATCTTCCTCCTTCTCCACTTTGGCGAAAGTGGCAACTTTGTTTTTTAACAAGTATAAGTGACCAGGACCTCCCTGCAAGAGAGAGACAGACAGATGCAAACCACTTCACACAGGCCCTAAAGAAGCAAACCCTGGATCTGTTTCTTGTCCTGCACAGCCATACCCTGAAGTCCCACAAGGGAGCAGAGCAGACACGCCAGGCTAGCACGGCTGCTACACCCTCCATAGCAGACACCGCCGGAAATATTCACATATGGGGAGTGTGTTCAGGGTTGGATTCTCTGTTTTTTACTGTTATGTGCTCACCTGACTCTAGAAAGGCACAATAATAGACAAAAATCTTCATTGCGGGTGGCTGGAGAGTAAAAGGGAAGACAAGAAAGTCTCTTTCATTTGGGGATGCTAGGGGACTTGCCATCGGTGGCAGACGAGAAGCTGAGCAAAGCAGCGATAAGCAGGCAAGATGTCACTGTAGAAGAACTGGACATTGGCAGTGGCAGGCATAAAAAGACTGAGCACAGCATCAGGAAAATTAAGAGTCGCAACCTCCAGGTCAGTGTGCTGCAAACCCTGCTATTTTGCAGCATTAGGCACGCTGGAGTTCAAGTTAGGTTACCTTCCTAACTTCTCATTTCAAGGTTCTTTGTGCACAGCTGTTGGGGAAGTCCAAAGCTGACCACCCTAAGGAACAAGAGACTGGGGAAGGAAATCCCCAGCAAGCCCCAGATGCAGCAAGGCCTGAATCTGTCCGACCCACAGCTCAGCAAGCCTGTACCCTGAACCCTCTCCCACGTACCCTGGCCTCCAGCTCCAAGCCGTGCCACCTGCCAGTCTGATCCACAACACGCATCACTGTCACTGTCATAGTTTTCATAGAGTTTCAGTATAACCGTGACATTGCAAATGCTTGCTTCTTTCTCCAGGATCCTCCTTTTGAGGTCTGTGCTAATCCTGGTTTGTCTGGGTTTCCTTGAAATCTGCTGAGAAGCAGCCCAGCTCTGGACTTGGCCACACTAAGTCAGATTTTATTTCCTGCTGTCACAGCAACTTGAGACTGTTTGGTGTTTGGGGAAATAAGAAGTGAAAGCCATACACATGCAGTTACTCTAACAGAACATGACTTTGGAATATTGGTTCCTCTATGTGATTTCCCCTGCAGAGAAAGACAAATTTGTAACAAACCACCCAGCACTTAAAAACTTCCATGTACCTGGCAAAATATCAGCATCTTCCAGATTTTGCAGCCTTTCCGATAAATGTTAAGCTTCTTCTCTATTTCCTCTGCAAAGAACACATTGGAAAAGATGAACTATGGAGGAATTTAAAAATTCATCTCATTTCTTCTCACTTTAGTCCTGAAGGCAGGAGCCTGAGCTGTGAGAGGTGCTCAGCACCTACATTCCCACTGATGTCAAAGCAAACCCTTTCGCTTTCATGCTGTGGAAAGCAGGAAATCCTGTATGGTGCAGCACCAGACACTGCTCTACAGTGATCACAGCACGGTACCAGACCCTCTGTTAATGCTCCTCTCACCTACAAGCGTACAACGAACAGGTATCTTTGCTGCCCTGTGCCTCAGCTTCCCTTTCATAGGCCAGGAGCTTGGCACAGAAAATGGGCCACCAAAGAGAAGTTTCATTACTGCAGCACATCCAACAGCAGCTGACTGACTGACAGGTGTCAGTGGGGTGATAAAAACACCTTTATGAGTGGCAGCTAAGGCACAGGGCAGCAGAGTGACTTCAACATATTGATCAGTTACATTTGCAACGGGCGGGAATTAAGAAAAGGAAATAACACTGACGTACCTAGGATGTCATCAAAGGTGGCATGTTCATGGTCCTGGAAACCAAAAGAGAAAACCTATCAAGGTTCGCTGTCCCTACACCAGCTCCCAGGACATTATTGCAGTCTCTAATATTGCACACAATCCCATTCCCAGGTAAATGGATGCTCTAAGAGCACAATTATACCCACTGATGGCTTCTAGTCACATCACAGCAACTACCACCCTAAAATATGTCTCAGCAAAGAAGCTGAAGACTGAATGGTCCATGAAGGCCAAGTCCATCCAAAGGCTTGAAGATGAATCCTGCAGACAAGTCCAAAGCACATACCATCCATCAGATGTAGTCAGCATCAGCCATGCGTATTTGCCTCTTGGCCCACATTTTGTAGCCAGCCTCTGGCTTTACACGTGTCCAAGCTGGCTAATAAACAGCCACACTCCCAACACATCTGCCTCTGGCATAGCAGGGTCACTAGGACAACTGCACAACTCTCAAAGGAAGAGAGAGGCAAAGCTGAACCCTCTAGCAGCGCTGCCTGCTGCACATGGACACTTGAGTTTTCTGGCTGTCAGTCCTACTCATCCCTTTCAAATTAAAGTGATGAGGAAAAAAGAGACCCATGACTCCTTGCTGGTGTTTCAGACACCTGCTCAAGCAGGACTTCTAGCGAAAAATCAAGGTTAAATTATTGACTGACAGGGATGCACCACTGTACATAGGGTGATGGGGTTCACAGTCCACTGCAGAGCTCTGAGGTCCTGTGCATCCTAAAGATGAACATGAGGAGGAGCCCTAAGCCTGGCAACACGCAGCTCTGCTTGTGTGCTTGGGCCTGCCCTGCCTTCCCTTGTTAATCTTCCCATGCTGCCTGGCTGTGCCTGCATAGTCTGGCAGCCCACGTGTGCAATTTTCACTCCACCTTACTCTTCCACCTAGACCTGAGCCCCCACAAAGCTACCCCAGACCCCAAATCTGGGTTCAGCACACGCCCAGCCCTTCCCCACAGCATCCAAATCACAGTGTTTCAGAATCACCATAGCAGGAACTAGGGATAGGGACAAAAAAGAAAGTTCTCTGTATGAAGCCTGCTCCCACACACCCAGACATAGCAGAAGTGATATACTTACATAGAGAATGGGGATGATAGAGGGATCGTCCCTGCGGATAATTGTTGGGACATACTCTGCTTTGGGCACCTTGGAAGAAATGAGCTGGAACGGGAAAAAAGAAGTGCAACAGCATGAGGAGAAGCCAGTAGAGTCTGGACAGAAGCACAAAGGTCACGATAACAGTGCCCTATTCAGTTGCTCTCAGGTGTTACAGAGCACCCCCATGTGTCACAGTCTCCTCGGCCCCCAACAAACAAGCTCTGCCTCAAAGGCAGGACTGAGTCCGAGGTAACAGTCTGTAAAAGGGAGACCAGTGTGCACAGAGGATGAAGAAGCTTGTGTGTCACCACGAATAGCTGTATCCCAGCAAAGATCACTTCTGTACAGCCTTCTTCCGTGGGAGGGTCTGTGGTTCTGGCTGTCAGAGGATTGTTCAAAGTGGCAGGCGTAGCTGGCTGGCGATGGGACGGCTGCATGCCTGAACAGGAACCAGCCAAGGAATGAAATGGCATCAAGGCAGAAGTAGGCACACAGCCATAGGATGTCAGGCAGATGCAGGCTGCCTGGAAACTCTGGATGAAGCTTCAGCTGGCTCCATCAGCATGAGAGCCTGAGAGGAGAGGCCTGCCCTCAGCACAAGCCAAAGGGCTATGGGAACATGGGGAATTTGACTGTGCTGTGATTTCAGGCACCTCTGCTCATCGCTGTGAGAGTGGAGCAGGCAGTGGTGCTGGTGGGCTTGTAAATACAGCCTGGGTTCCAGCTTGGGCTGGCTTCAAAGCCCTCCCTCCTGACAGGCAGCACATCACTGCTTCAGCCATGTGAATGTAAAGTTCCTGAAAAGGCACAATATAGAGTCCGGGGATGGACAATCATCACATACACCACCTGGGGAGACACAGTGGAGGTGTTGAGGGCTGAACCAACCCAAGTATTGGGTCCCTAGTGTTTGGGTCTCACCTGGCCACTTTGCCCTGAAGGTGCTTTAGGGATAAGTCTGCACAGACAGCCTGGGAACATACATAAAAGCAGACTGTCTCCATGTCCTTCACTCTTCCCAAGTCTTAGCAGGACCCATTCAAACACAGTACCGCTGTGCTGGACTGGCAATGCTGCCCTGAGAACGAGCTGGAAGTTTGAGATCTCATTTTGCCCCAGTTCTTGTGCATGTGGCCAAAGGAGGGATGCGTCAGAACCTGGTCCTGTCTGCCAAACTCCACAGAGCGGAGCAGGGGGAGCAGAGGGGGAAGTCTAGCATCAAGGAATGATAAAAGAGCAGAAAGCATCTCAAGGGATGACATACAGCTCCAAAGCAAATCAGGCAAGTCACAACAGGAGGGAGGGACTGCTGAGACTGTAGACTCGGGTCTCTATTGCCAGAGTTACGAGACTCAGGCTAACTTGGTTCGGTGGTGGTGACAGTCCTGCTCTGATTTGGGGTTGGACAGGTCCTTCCACTTCTAGTTTTCTTTCAACACATTATCCCCAGCAATAATAGATGCTGAATACTGTGTCACATCTTGGCTGATCTCTGAGTGACCCCCATACACACCTAAAGAGTTGCCTATACAAAAGTCTTGCCTCTTCCGGTGAAGATCTTAAACTAGCAGCTCTGAAAGGACAAACAAACTGGCATAGATACAGGTAGCTGAGTTGGAAACCCTCACCATTATTTTTGGTGGAATAAAGTCTTCTCCGTCACATGCCATGGCTTCAAGTTCCTTTTCTGCTTCCCAGTTCAAGTCAAAGTCACCATCCAAAGTGCCGCAGGAATCCTGAAGGTCATGGCCTGCCAGAACACAGTATGCATTACAAGGGCAGAACAGCTTGCCTTCCCCACTTGACCCTGTCTGGCAGCTACCTTGCAAGAGGTACCACAAGCCATCAGACTTGTGCCCTCTTTTCCTCCACAGAGAGACAGACACCACACTTTGGGGCTGGCATCTCTAAACAGACAAACACTTAACGAATGAAGAGTGCACACACAGAGCCCAATACCACATATCACATAACTTTTCATCACTCTCACAGTCGCCAAGTTTAGCTTTCAAATGCTAATTCACAACAGTCACCCTGTCATTTCAGAAATGGAGGAGGAGACAGAACGCAGTCAGACTCTCTACACTTTGACATTGCCAAGCTGATGAGCAAAAGTCTAAAGACTTCAAAGCTGGTCTCCTTGTAATAATTACTGCTCTGACTACATCTTCTGAGTGATTATGAAGAAACTCTGCCTTGTTGGTCAAACTGATCCTGGCAGAGAAGTCCCAGAGCGTGAGGACAGCCGTAGCAAACACAATAGTATTGCAACAGTATACTTGAATTTGCTCTTCAAATTGACCTTACCTGTTGGCCTTCAATGCCTCCTGGGGAAAAAAACATCTGGAAGGAATATAATTGACCATTAAAGGTTAAAAATAGAGATGGTTCCCTGAAGGCAGGGACTGAGGAAAGAGAACCAAGACGCCTCTATTTGTGCCTTTTGGGATGTCCGAGTGTCACTGAGCAGTGCCTGGAGCCTGTCTGAACCATGTCTTTTCCATTCGCCTCTGAGTTAGCTGAGGGGGTGGGGAGGAATCAGACTGCAAAGGAACAATCGGGTCATGTTTTGAACCTGGCCTTTCACACATCTCCCCCTACACCCTGGTACGGTGTCTTCCACAGCTAGGAGGGCTGGATCTCACGCTTACCTGGTAGGTCAGTTCATTTCATTAGTGAAATTCATTTACAATACAACCCATTTCAACATGGGCAAACTCATATCCACCAAGTCCCTTGCCTACAGGATTTCAATAAAATCTGGGTAAAACAGCCATTCCCTTTATAAAAAGACAGTGGGAAGATGCTGGCATTTCCTCCCGTAAATTAACACAATAGCATCTCAGTCCCCACAAGCAGCACATCACAGCATTACTGGGGATTCCCAGAGGAATTCCTGGCAGCCCAAATGAAGATCAGATTGCCCCAAGCTATCATCTGTGCAGCCAGCATGGCCAGGAAATCAAAGCTACATCTCATGGAGCACTGCAGCTGCGCTCTTGAGCTATTCCAGCCTAGGAAAGAGCTCAGAAGGGGCTCTTGCACGGGAAGCCAGGCAGGTTAGCCCCAACATGGTGAATGTAGCCTTGGACTGGTGTGCTTCCAGGTAGGCTGTTTTGGTTCCAAGCGAATAAGGGATGATGGGAACAGAGGGCTCTAAGACAGCTGTACTGCTGGGTATCCTTTGGCAACCGCACAATAACATGAGGTTAGATGTGTTGTGCTCTACTACAAATAAATATAGGTACACACAGATGAACAGGTGCATATACCTGGAGTGTTCTTTGCTCAGATCTCATGAAACTAAAGGATCACAGATGGGACAAAAGGGCAGAGAGGAGCTACTCCAGTGGGACTCCAGTCAACACCTCAGCTGGAGGGTTTGTCCACAGGAGGAAGCTCAAAGGACTCAGAACTCACTTTCTCGAGAGTCATGGAAGGAATCAGCTTTGATGGGAGTCGGGTCACTCCAGGACCTGCTGAAGCTCCTCTCACGCCGTTCGGCAAATGCTAGGACAAAACCAAAGCACGACATTAACAGACTCCAAAGCCACCTCTGTTGCTGCCAGCAAAACAAATCATCCAGTAGATTTCCACCAAAGCCACACATCACAGACTCCCCTGTGCTTGTTCTTCCACTTGCCAAACGTGAGTCCTTTCCATACAGCAAACAAGGGTTTGTATCTTCCAGACAGCAGAAGACAAAGTGCCCACTTTCTGAGCCAGACCATTACAGGGTACGTAACACAGAAAAAGGAGGACGCTTGATGGTCTCTCCTTAAATGCACAGGGTTCAAACCTCAATTTAATCAAGGCTATTCCAGTGTCCCAGTGTAAACACTCTGACTCAAAGGCCTCACAGACAGATGTACTCAACAGCTAATGACACATGCACAATCAGAAGGCGGCAGTAGTTCTCCAGTCAGTTCTCCCTTCATCTTCTAGTCACATCCCAATCAGAGCTGGACCAAACAGAGGGGGGGCCTCTGGAAAGCTCATGCTTTCTAAATTTTGTTGCAAAAGAGGAAAACTTTCAGGTTTTGCTTGCCTGCACTCTTGTGAGCACTCCCCCCCCAGGCTTTTTTTTTTTTTTTCCTCTCTCTCTCCAAGGGGCATTATATTGTTTGTACCAGCACTTCCCAAGTAGAATCCAGGGAGCTTGGCCCAGCTGGCTGCTCCACAGGCAAATTCCTGGGAACTGCCAACTACAATGTCTGACTTGGCAAGCCCCTGTGAGAGCCATTACGCCTAGATTAACAGCCACTTATAGCCACTAATACCTATTTCTGGTAGCAGACAGAGCAAGTTTGCTGCAGTGTATCTAGTAACAGCATCTCATGTCAGCAGCACAGAAATTCACTGCAGATCTGCATTACAAGAGCTGAGAAGCAACCTGTCCTCTGCTGCAGCATGTTCAAGTGTGGGTATCCAGGGAGACAAATCACATAGTAAGTTCTTCAGGTGATCTCCATCCTCAGCTTTCGTTTAAAAACCAGGCATTTAGCTATTGTGCACATGAAGAAAGCTTTGAAAACATGACCCGAGAGTTACCAAGGCAGAGAGGCATGCCTGACCTTCCAGACAGCTCTAGGGGGAGGTGAGCCCTGTTCATTTCAGGCAGTGCTAACTCAGATGCCAATAAAGACACTTTAAAGGGCAATGCTCTTGGCTGTTGACTTCCCACAGCATATGAGAAAGGGGAGGAAAGAATGCAAATGCTTTGCTGTGGGCAGTCTGTACGTGATGCCTGGCCAGGAGGTGGGAAGAACAAGCTGTTTCCTCTTCTGGAGCAATCCTCAGCTCTCTGGAGCCGGTTACACCATTCTCAGCCCATTTCACAGTGATAAGGGAGCTGCCCCAACCAAGTTATGGAGGAGTGTTGCCTTCCTCAGGGAAAAGGAACTGCTGTTTCCCAGACCTAAGAGGTGATTTCTTCCCCAGTGAGGCATAACTCTCCCTCATTTCCCCCTTGCTCCAACCTCTTCCCTGTTCCTCTTCTTTCTCCCCTTCACTGTCCTCTCAGCTCCCACCAGGCAACTTCACCCCAGGTCCTGCTGCAGAGATGGCGGTGGGACAGGGGAGGGGAAAAGAGAAAGGCACCAGTCCGCCTGGCTCATGAAGCACCGACTGTCCCCAGGGAGCCACACCTGGTACACAGCGTCAGTAAGAGGACAGGCAGCCCTCGCCATCTCCGCTGAACTCTCAGCTCTGGTTCTTCTCACATCTACACCGGTGATCACCAAAAACCACATACACATGTGACAAGGACACTGCAGCTCTCCTTCCACTCCTTGCACTGAGGCCACAGAGATCTCCCATGGTCAAGGCAGAGGGTCCTCAGAAATAGCTTACAGGCTGCTGGCAGACATCCGTGTGTCCTGGAGACTTGCAACAACCTGGCCTTCTTTCTTGTAGGCTAAAATGGCATCAGCAGATCAAATCCTTTCTCTGGCCCAGTGCTAGGTCCCTTCTACCTGCATCTGCACGCAACACTGGGACAGGAGGAACCCTTTGGCACAAACCCCAGCTCCTCACAGGTGCTCACTTACTTTGTGCTTTAACCCTTCGGCTCCCCACCATCCGGAGGTGCTTCCGAAAATTCCTGAAAGAAAGGCCAAACGCAACCTCTGAGAAAGGTAATACAAAGCAATACCTGTGTCCAGCAGGACTGAAAAAATTGAGGAAATAAAATAAAATTGGGAAGACAGTGTATTTCCTTCTAGGCATTCAAAAGCTGGAGACCAGGATGCCAGCCTGCACCTATTCAGTGCTCTGGGGACAGTTATGTTTGTCAAGAGTGTGGATGTTTCTTCTGAACTACCTGGGCTGGTGGTATGGGGCAAGTGAGGTCCTACATGGCAGTCTCCTCCTCACGGCCTGCTTTCACTTTCCTATGACTAAGGCACACCTGTGCTGTAACTTTGCTGAAGACACTGCCCATGCTGGCAATGCTCCCGCTTCTCCTGGTAAAGAGCAGGAACTGCTCCCCTCTCTTCTTTCTTCCACACATGGTTCAGTGTGGAAAGCGGGCTGCCCAGGCTCTGCCCTACTAGGCAGCATGCACACACCATGCTCATGGCTGTGCTCATTCCCAAACACATTCACAGCAGCTGCTCAAATCCCACCCGTGCTGTTAGCAACCATGCAGTCCCTACTGCTCTCCAGGGCAAAGAGCTGGCAAAGACTGAAGCGGCTTCTTCCTTCTCGGATAGCACCGTTCAGCAAGGCTGACTGTCCTCATGGGCCTGCTCTCTGCTAATGCTGCCTGCCTAATCATGTGCTTCCCTGCCCAAGGGCCCACAGGCAGAGATCAGTGGGGCTGCAGAGTACACAGCTGCAGGGGAAAGTCCACCAGAGGGTAACCCTTGGGGAGCAGCTACACCCCACAGTCCGGTCTGTGTGAAAACAGACAGTCCTGGCCACTCCTGAGAGACCATGGCACAGGGAGTCTTTGTCCAGCCCCTCCGAGTGCAAGGGACCTGTTTCCCTTAGTTTCTCATCACTCACCTAGAGAGGAACCAAACAGGACACCAGAAGAGACACAGGGAAGAAGCAGCACATGGACTATCAAAGAAAAGCCTCACCCCTCTGTGAACGCTACTTAGTCAGGGTGACTTCACCCTGCAGTGCAGCCCCCGTGGTCCCCAGGGATGTCAGTGAGCCTGTGTACCAGCAGCCTGCATGGAGCAGGGGAGCATTCCTATGTTCCCTTCTGCCCCACCAACAAACACTGCAGACATCAAGCAAAAGAGACTGCTGCTCGTGAAATGGGTAAAGTGACAAGTCGTCTGGCTCACATACAGGTTAGTGGGATGAGTAAGGACATGTTACAACCATGCAGATGCTTTAGCAAACTAACTGGACTAGACGACACTTCCAGCACTGACACGAAGTTGTTCAGAGAAAGTCAGATATGTCTACTCCTATACAGAGAGATCAAGGCAAACACAGCCCTTGTGGGCTGCACCTTCTGCACTGTGCCCCACTTTGGCCTTGGATCCCATGTTGTCATCAGGATCTAAATTCAGCAGCTCAAGAAGGAAAACTAGCAGCTGGGTAGTGAAGCTGGGAGCAACATTATTCCATGACAAATTTCCATCTGCACTTGGGCTATTAATGTTATTTTACAAAGACTTATTTTAGCTGTACTTGGGTACACGAAGATTCACTGCTGTGGATCAGACAGCTGCCCCTTTTAGACAAGTAACTAAACCAATTCATTTCACCAACACATGCTGAACTGGCTCTATGTACAAAGCCTTCTGGGGTGCATGATGACCGATAACATGGGCTGTCTTACTGCGCATTAGATTCAAATCCAAATAAATACAACATTTTAAGGGATCCATGGTCATTTTTTACACAGAAAGGTCTTAGGCATATGTTGTAACTCATCAGAATGAAAATCTTTATGGTCCATCCTGAGACCAACCTCACACCAGACACTGAGCACCAATGTTAATTGCCAAGGCCACTGTTACGTCCTTTGGGCTTTTGACATTTTGGAATAAAATCCATTTTTCTGTTAAATACTCAGTTGTCCTCTCTGCAGAGGAGCTTCTTCAGACCCTGGGGAGAAGGTGGGTAAAGCACTCTTTGCCATAGAAGAGTGCTGCTCCCAGCTGCTTGGACAGCTTGGTCTCTCCCATGAGTGCGGGTCAAGGGCAGCTGCCTAGATACGTCTCCTAAATACTGCTGAGAGCAGCTCCCGGGAGAATCCAGCTGCTCAAGGTTAACCATCGCACTAAACGCACGGAGAACAGGACAAAGGCCTTTTTTTCCCCCTCCTCATCTCTTCTAGAAAGCAAGCACTTCATAAAGGAGGTGCAAGCCTGGGGCTGCCTCTTAATGTGGGCATCCTGTGGGCATCTAGATCCTTCTGAGGGCTTTTTGCAGGTGTTTTGGTCCTCAGGCTCCTCTGTGCTTGCACGTTAGCATGAAAGGACTGGCACAGCATCCCCAGGGGAGCCACAATCTGCTCTGTGAGCAGCGGGGCTACATAAACCTGCCCAGTCTTCCTGCCTGGCTCCTGCAATTGCACCCAGAAAACCCAGGGTTATTTGATCACTAGCAAGATCTCTTCACCCACCAAAATTCAACAAGCATCCCTCAAGTTACAGTGATAAAAACTCCTTATTACTCCCTTTCCTGAACAATCCTCCTCCTGACAGACTCTAGCTTGCCACATGGTCTGCATGACCCTATGCCACCTCCATGGTGTCCACCCCAGCATCAAAGGGTCTCCAAGACACAGCAGCCCCACTCCACACCCTCTGCAGCTCTGCCTGCGGCAGTTCATTCGCACTCTGCAGAGAAGCCTTTGTATTACCTGAACAGAGGCCGGCGACGGAATTACTGACATACATCAATACTCTGCAAAACTCCCGACAGCACCTCTCACGTTCTCCTCCACAACTCCTCCTTGCAGCAGCCACAAGGTTCAGCAAACCACTGGGCATCACCAACTCTTGAGGCAACATCCACTGCATGCCATGCCACACAAACAGCCTCCCTGTGCACCAGACACACAGGGCCAAGCACTGAAGGGGCTGTGCAGTAACAACTGTGCTTGCGAAACACTCGAGGCCACGAAGGGCTGCACAACAAGCATCCAAAACTGTGGTGGGGCTGGGGTCCTCCTCACTCCCTGGAGAAGAGTGCTGAACACTAACTGCCAGCAATCCTTACAGCTGGACAGGGTCTGCTTGCATGGCACAGCCAAAACCCATCATTGCTATCTTATCTCCTCTTTTATTACAAGATAAATGCAGATGGGCTCCCCCTGTACAATCCTGCCTAGACCTTCGGTGTCCACAGGAGGTGAAGGGACATGCTGTCCACTCAACACAAGGATGACGTGAATCCATCCTCTATCCTGACTACACAGCATCACTGAGGTACACGACTCCTACTCCTGTACTCACAAGCCACATGAACAAGCCATTTTATAACAAAGACTTGCCTCTGTCTAACAAATTCTGAGAAATCTCTTTCTTTTTAAAGATACACTGTCTGTTTATTTACAGCATCTTTAGTTTTGATTCTTATTTCTCTTCGTTATTGATGAAAAAAACCACCCTCCTTAAGTTGCTAAAAAAAAAATAATCTTCCTGGCAATTTCCCAGTTAAGAAAACCCAATGTTTTTCTCCCACTTTGTTTTGAACAGTGCTGAAGTGATCACGGCAGTTTTTAACCAATGACACAACTGCTGGGTTATCTTTCTTAGTAGCCTGCCAAAATACACGAGCCTTGGCAGATTTAGAAACACTGAGCAGTTCCAATTACCACAGTGGCTAAGTGATGTGTCCTGGGAAGCCAGTAGAGGGAAACCAGGGCCCTTCTGTAATACCCATACAAGGAATCAGTCCCCATCCCCTTTTCTTTCCTTTCTGTTCTTTAAAAAACAGATTAAAAAGAATAGACTTCTGGTCACTAGAGATGTTGATTTTGCCTAGGTCTCAGATTTTTGAGGTGCATTTGTAGATGCAGCAACAGTACATAAAAGTATTCAGCTAACCTCAAACAAATTCCAAGTACTTGAGAGAAGGCTGGGGAAATTGCATCTTTACTTTTTTTTATATATATTCTATATTTTTCTGCCTGAGACACAGATCCTGTGTGTTGTATTTGGAAGCTTAAAAGAAACTTGACAGTGTTCCCTTAAGAAGATGGAGATCAGCTATCTTGACCACTACAGCATCATTCACCTCCACATTTCCAACACAGCCACCGCTCCTGTCCCTACGAACAGCAACACAGACAGGGACAACCACGTTCAACGTCATCAAGCGCCACTAATGACACCCGAAGGGCCCATGCAACACCAGGCAAGGTTACAGCTACGGGAGAAAACAGGCCCTACCTCTGTATAACAGCTGCAGAATCATTCTCTCGTTTCCGTCTCTTCCTCTCTGCGTAGCCCCTGAACGCCCTGGGAAACCATTTTAAGCCATTAACCAACTACAGAGCTTTGAACTGGAGAGGACACGAAACACAGACAGGAAAGCTCTCACCAGACAACAGAGAGAGATTAGGCTGACCAAGGAAGACAGCCAGCCCTTGCAGGACTGCGTGCGAGTCAGGGGCCAGGCAAAAGACTCACCAAACCAAAGGTCCTCACTCTCTAGGGGAGGTGGCTGGACAAGTACTTGTTCCTAAAGCAAACATAAGAGTGGCCAGAGCAGGGCCCACAGAATGGGGTGAGCAGCCATCATCCCTGCTACGGAGGAACGGACCTAGGAGACTGCAGACACAAAACCTCTGTACACCAGGATCAAGAGGGACAAAAGCATGCTAGCAACTGTAGTCTCCGTTTCGAAGATGAGGATGGTTGCAGTGTGATCCACGTAGGCCTACAACTTGTAGCCATCTAACCTCTTGCCAGCTGACAAACAGCCCTAGCATAGGGAAAGCACAAGTGAATACGATGGACAGGAGAGGAGAGGAGAGTTTATCCAGGACACCAATAGACAAGGAAATAAAAAAATGAAGATTATACTTACGAGA